TTCGTCAGACCCGGAGACACGATGGATATGTCCGGTGAGCTTTGGCAGTCTCCCCTCATCCTGGTGGGTATGTCCTCGTTCACCGTGCAAAACGTTGAGCTATCAATTTGCTCGGCCAGCGCCATGCCCCTCTGGTCATTACCTAGGACGGAATGCCATAACTCATGATGTGCATTGAAATCCCCTAGCACCAGACGGTTATTGCCTTCCAAAAGAGGACTAATGTCGGGCAAATAACGCGGGGCACAGCTATTTAACGGCGGAATGTAAACGTTAAGCACCTCTACCTCGGCGGTACCACATTTGACCGCTACCCCCATACATTCCATGTATGGGTCACTAGAGTCTAGCTCAAGCGAGATAGGTCTGTACTGGACAGAATGGTGCAATAGGAATGCTAATCCTCCACCTCCACCTCTTGTACGATCCTTTCTAATAACGTTGTATCCATCACAACTCTGAAGACTACAGGTGTTGTTCAGCTTCGTTTCTTGGATCGCAGCGACCATAATACTTCTCCGACTCATAAAATCCACTATCTCGTTGATTTTACCTCGAAGTCCATCGCAGTTGAATTGAAGAAAGGATACATTGTCAGGAGTTGCGACAGCAATGTGCGGTGTTAGCGGCTGCGGCGCAGGTTGCTGCTGCGGAGATTGCGGGGGAGTCACGTAATCCGAAGACGACGACGATGATGACGTGGACCACGGTGACGACGACGACTCGCTGGGGACTACATTGGCGCAGCAAGAAGCAACGTAGTCCCTTTCGCTATACTCCTGTATCCGGCTAAGGCCGGAACAACTCCTGAAATGTACCCATTCTCTGCATCCGTTGCATCTCACCGAGATAGATCTGTGGTGGATGCTGTTGTGACAAACTGAGCAGAACCATGGTCCGGGGTTTGTCTCAATCCCGGCACGGACCAAAAGAATCCGGAGCAAGCATTCCGGGTAATGATGCTCCCATGTTGAAAAAATACACGTAGTATTTGCTGGGTTGACAGCCCTTGGTCGGAAGTTGATTCCTCCGAGTCAATCCGGTGCATAGAACCGGCCGTCGTGGGATTGAGGTAAATGGTGCACCAAACTCCCAATATTGGTCCGATTGAGACAAAATTTTGCACAGAGTTCTGAATTAGGTCAAAATGTATTGGGAAGTTTTGTTGGAATCAGTTTAGATTTAGATATAGCTCCTATATACGGTTGCTCAAATACGTCCATGTATATGTAGATCTTATACATATCTTGCTCGATAATTGACATACAATTTTTTCATTAATTTAAGATTGGTTTTTGTAGTTGTTGTATCAATATATCTATAACTTCACGCAGTTATTTTCGCCCGATTCCATTTCAATGGTTCTCCAAAGATGCTATGTCTATTCTATCTAAAGCATATTGTACATATGATCATGTACAATATGCAAAGTGATGAAGGGTATCATAAAGTCGGTCCCGTCCGTCTTTTTTACTTTCCTTACTGGTTTAAATATTCCTTAATAAACCACGCCTTTTAGGTCCACATGACCTTTAATAAATCCGCGACTTTTAATTCCACTTGTCCTTAAAAATAATCCTTAAAACCGCGCCATGTCGACCTACATGTCCTTTAAAAATCCACGCCTTTTAGGTCCTCATATCCTTAAAAAACTCTAAAAAATCCACTACTTTAGCTCCTCCACATGTCCTTTAATAATATTCCCTTAAAAATTTACGCCTTTTAGGTCTGAATTTTCTCCACGCCTAAAAATATTCCCTTAAAAATTCACGCCTTTCAGCTCCACATGTCCTTTAAAAATATTCCCTTAAAAATTCATGCCTTTCAGCTCCACGTGTCCTTTAAAAATATTCCCTTAAAAAATCCACGCCTTTTAGCTCCACATGTCCTTTAACAATATTTCTTTAAAGAGTCCACGCCTTGTAGGTCCACATGTCCTTTAAAAATATTCCTTTGAATTAAAAAAAAAAACCTTTAAAAAAATTCTACTTGCCGGTTTTTGACATTTGCCCAACATTTTCATTCAAAATATTTTTTTTACAAAAAAATAATTTTTCTTTCTGAAAGTTTCAATTTTTTTTCAACATTCAAATTTTCTTCTTTCAGGACACAACAGCTAAGCTGTTCCTGGAATTATAAATCGTATTTTTTAAAATGGCTGCCACAAGCGCTGGTCTTCAATCACAGCAGCAACAACAGCAGTCGTCTACAGATGTAGTGCAACACAAAACGAATACAACGTTGCCAAATGGCGGTGGTGCTGGCCTAACTAGAAATGTACAAATCCAGTCACAGCCACAAATACACAATTTGCAACAGCAACAACATCTGATGCAACAATATGCCATGAAACAGCAGCAACAACATGCCAACTTTCTGCAACAGCAAAGTCAGCAGCAACAGCCCAATCAAACGTTTGGTATGCAACCAACAACACTGTTGCAGCAGCCGCAACAGCAGCAAAACTATCAAATTGCACAACCGCAACAACAACAACAAATGTTGCACAATCAATTTGCCAGCAACATGATGCCTTGTCAAAATTTTATGACACCACCGCCACAGTTGCATAGCCAACCAAATCGATTTATCACGACTAGTAGCAGCAACAGCAGTGGTAGCAGCAACAACTCCTCTTCGTCAGCGGTCAGCAACACCATTAGTGTTAGCAACACAATTACATGGAGTCAACAATATCAGCAGCTGCAAAATACGCGAAAGCAACCGACAATTGTTGTTAATCATAAAACCCAACAACCACAGTTGCAATTGCAACAACAAAGTTTACCAAAAATTGTTGCACCAACCAAAACAATGTTGCCCTCAACGACTCTGACTACAACTTCCAATTTCAGTAATGTGCAATTAAATTCGGTTGCTGCCAGTGATAATAATACCAGGCAACTTCCTAATTCCGCTTCTGCCGACACGCTGAGCAAAACTAATGACCACAGCAACAATAATAATAACAACAAGAATGTAGCTGATTTGCCAAATAAAACTTCAAAAGATTCGTCGTTCAGCTATGAATTAACAAAATCCACCAAGGATAGCAGTCATCAATTGGATGTAAAACCAAATCTGGCACCTGGTTGGCAAAGGCAGTCCAACAACAACAATGAAATTGTTTATATAAGGTAAGTGAAAAAAGATTTTTGTCATTTTTTAAAGGAATTTTTTCAAGGCCTATTCAAGGCGTGGATTTTTTTAAAGGAATATTTTTTCAAGGTGTGCATTTTTTTAAAGGAATATTTTTTCAAGGCATATTCAAGGCGTGGATTTTATTTAAGGAATATTTTTTCAAGGCCTATTCAAGGCGTGGATTTTATTTAAGGAATATTTTTTCAAGGCCTATACAAGGCGTGGATTTTTTAAAGGAATATTTTTTCAAGGCCTATACAAGGCGTGGATTTTTTAAAGGAATATTTTTTCAAGGCCTATACAAGGCGTGGATTTTTTAAAGAATATTTTTTCAAGGCCTATACAAGGCGTGGATTTTTTAAAGAATATTTTTTCAAGGCCTATCCATAGCGTGGATTTTTAAAGAATACTTTTTCAAGGCCTATTCAAGGCGTGGATTTTTTAAAGAATATTTTTTCAAGGCCTATCCAAGGCGTGGATTTTTTAAAGGAATATTTTTTCAAGGCCTATTCAAGGCGTGGATTTTTTAAAGGAATATTTTTCAAAGCGTGTATTTTTTTAAAGGAATATATTTCAACGCGTGGATTTTTTAAAGGAATATTTTTCAACGCGTGGATTTTTTTAAAGGAATATTTTTCAACGCGTGGATTTTTTTAAAGGAATATTTTTCAACGCGTGGATTTTTTTAAAGGAATATTTTTCAACGCGTGGATTTTTTACAGGAATATTTTTCAACGCGTGGATTTTTTTAAAGGAATATTTTTCAACGCGTGGATTTTTTTCAAGGCGTGGATTTTTTTAAAGGAATATTTTTTCAAGGCCTATTCAAGGCGTGGATTTTTTAAAGGAATATTTTTTCAAGGCCTATTCAAGGCGTGGATTTTTTAAAGGAATATTTTTTCAAGGCCTATACAAGGCGTGGATTTTTTAAAGGAATATTTTTCAAAGCGTGTATTTTTTTAAAGGAATATATTTCAACGCGTGGATTTTTTAAAGGAATATTTTTCAACGCGTGGATTTTTTTAAAGGAATATTTTTCAACGCGTGGATTTTTTTAAAGGAATATTTTTTAACGCGTGGATTTTTTTAAAGGAATATTTTTCAACGCGTGGATTTTTTAAAGGAATATTTTTCAACGCGTGGATTTTTTTAAAGGAATATTTTTCAACGCGTGGATTTTTTTCAAGGCGTGGATTTTTTTAAAGGAATATTTTTTCAAGGCCTATTCAAGGCGTGGATTTTTTAAAGGAGTATTTTTCAACTCGTGGATTTTTTTAAAGGAATATTTTTCAACGCGTGGATTTTTTTAAAGGAATATTTTTTCAAGGCCTATACAAGGCGTGGATTTTTTAAAGGAATATTTTTCAACTCGTGGATTTTTTTAAAGGAATATTTTTCAACGCGTGGATTTTTTAAAGGAATATTTTTTCAAGGCCTATACAAGGCGTGGATTTTTTAAAGGAATATTTTTTCAAGGCCTATACAAGGCGTGGATTTTTTAAAGGAATATTTTTTCAAGGCCTATTCAAGGCGTGGATTTTTTAAAGGAATATTTTTTTAAGGCCTTATCAAGGCGTGGATTTTTTTAAAGGAATATTATTTTTCAAGTACTTATCAAGGCGTGGGTTTTTTAAAGGAATATTTTTTCAAGGCCTATTTAAGGCGTGGGTTTTTAAAAAGGAATATTTTCTCAAGGCCTATTTAAGGCGTGGATTTTTTAAAGGAATATTTTTTCAAGGTCTATTCAAGGCGTGGATTTTTTAAAGGAATATTTTTTCAAGGCCTATTCAAGGCGTGGATTTTTTAAAGGAAAACTAAATATATTATTTAATACGTTTTGATTGACATTTTATTTTTGTTCATAATAACAACAATTGTTCACATTTATCTACGGGATTCATTGGTGTCCCCTTGGCACACTGAAATGCTTGAGCAAATTGTTCCAAATTCGTTAGGGGTACAAAGGCACGAAATTCATCGGGTGAATGCTCATCACTGGCAGCTACCACCGATGTGTTAACTTCAAATATATCCGAACACCACATTTGAGAGTAATGAATAAAAAACAACTGTTTGGCATCATAATTTAAATCCGCGAATACTTCTCCTTGCAATTCCGCTTTGGATTGTGATGAGTTGGTATACCATTCATTATAGATTTCATAGGCAATTAAAACTCCCGCATTGTCAGCCGAATTTTCACTTTGCATTGAATCCTGAGGCAAATTGTGACCAGCAAATGAATAATTGTGATATTGATCGTATAGACAATCCTGGCGCTTTTCTAATTCCTCTTCATTTTCCCATTCACCTGTCAGCTTGCCCGTATGATCGAAATAACGTCCGACAGCCGTAAAGGCATGCATTAGTTCATGACATAGGAGAAATCCGAGATGGGCATAATTTAAATTGTTCGGATTTTCATCGGCCCAAAAGAATGGATTTTGTAAAACGGATACCGGAATTATGACCGTATTCGATTTGGCCACATAGGTGGGTGAGAACATGTCCAGACCCATTTCAATATAGTTCGGTTTTTCGTACAGAGATTTTTGCTTTTTAATGGCTTCCAGGGAAATCAGGGTTTTTAGATTTTCCACAAAATCATCGGGTGAAATTTCCACATTCTCATATTCTCCACTGCAATTGTTGTACTCCTGATAGTTGGGCATCACCATTGTTAAGGTATCTAATTTTCGCAATGCAAATTTTTGCGACTCTGCATCAAACCAGGACATTTTATTTGAATTCAAAGCCTTTCGTATGGCGGCCTTTACGCGATTCCAAAATTCGAATATGGCCACTTCATAATTCTGCAAATTATAATGGCGATAATAGAATTGACTCACAAGCTTGGGTAGATACAGTTCAACTTGCGTGATACACCGGCGCTCCAAATCCCTCTGACTGATGGAAGTTTTAAATTTGAACGGCATTAATAGATTATAAAAAATATAATTGGCCACAATTCGTTTTGGTGTCGTCTTCATGATATCGATTAGCTCTGACACATAGTGGGTTATATCGATTTGCAGATTAGGAGGTATGGAGCCATATGAAATATTCATTAGCTGATAGATGTCAAAATCGGGTGCAAATTTCTCCTGCAACTCAGCAATGGAAATGGAATCACTTCCCATTTTGGAATCCTGCTCCTTGGCTTGCCATAATTTCTGTTCGAAGTTCACATATTCTTGGGCAAACTCCTCCGCCTTGGTTTGATTCACATTGAAAAAGTTTTTCAGGTTTTTTACAATGGTTGCACGATAAGAATCGCGGTGTTGAAGATAACCATTTTGAATTTCAAACTCATGAATTTTCAAATATATCATATTTTCCGAGGCATTATGGTGGTTGGGTATGATCCCATAACCCACAATAATGACAAATCCATATTTCTTCGATATTCTGGCAATGGTTGTTTGCCAATCAAATTCATTCTCCTGCCAAGGGTTATTCTCCTCCTCCTCAAGTAAAGGCATTCCACCAAATTCCTGGGCAATTTCCCTTAGCTGGTGCACATATTCACTTTGATTTCGATTTTTCTGATTTAGACAAGAATTGTAGAAATTTTTCAATTTTATTTCATTGGCTGTTGTTGGTAAGTGTTCGGCACCCGCGCCCTCTTCCTTCGAGGACAACAATTTGTCCAATTTTCCATAGAAAAATTTAACACCCTCTGTAAAGGCATCTCTTTGCGGTTCATCCTCACTAGCCGGGTGAAGATATTTCCAATTGCCACAGGCAAATTGATAGAAATTCTCACAAGGATCTGCACTTGCATTCATATAATTGCGGAGTTTTTGAGAACGATTTCCTAGGTCGGCATTTTTAGTTGTTGGCAAGGCTTGCGTTAGGTTTAATATTGAAATTAATATTAATATTGCAATTGGTTTTAACATTATATATTTGATCTAATTTTTTATTGTTTACACTGCACCGCTCGAAGTTAAATTCTAAACTAAATTTTCCAATACAGATTGATTTGCATTCAATGCAAACATCTGTGGAATTCAAATCATATCTCTACATGGGGTTCACAATGTTATCACCATTTGTTTTTTGCTTGCTAAACATTTGTTGCTTCTGCTAGGGATGGAGAATTGGCTCAGTAAATAACCCGGGTTAATTCTGGGTGGATTTTTTTTCAGAATGTTTTTTTAAGGACTGGCTAGGGCGTGGATTTTTTAAAGGTTATTTTTTCGTAGACCCTAATAGGCGAATATTTTTTAAAGAATATTTTTTCAAAGACCATAACAGGCGTGTATTTAAACAAAATTAAGGACCATAACAGACGTGGATTTTTTAAAGGATATTTTTTTCAAGGACCATAACAGGCGTGAATTTTTAAAGACTACTTTTTCAAGAACCATAACAGGTGTGGATTTTTTAAAGGATATTTTTTCAAGGACTTGCTAAGGCGTGGATTTTTTAAAGAATATTTTTTCAAGGACTAGCTAAGGCGTGGATATTTTAAAGGATATTTTTTCAAGGACTACCTAAGGCGTGGATTTTTTAAAGGATATTTTTTCAAGGACTAGCTAAGGCGTGGATTTTTTAAAGGATATTTTTTCAAGGACTAGCTAAGGCGTGGATTTTTTAAAGGATATTTTTTCAAGGACTAGCTAAGGCGTGGATTTTTTAAAGGATATTTTTTCAAGGAATAGCTAAGGCGTGGATTTTTTAAAGGATATTTTTTCAAGGACTAGCTAAGGCGTGGATTTTTTAAAGGATATTTTTTCAAGGACTAGCTAAGGCGTGGATTTTTTAAAGGACATTTTTTCAAAGACTAGTTAAGGCGTGGATTTTTTAAAGGATTTTTTTGCAAAGACTAGCTAAGGCGTGGATTTTTTAAAGGATATTTTTTCAAGGAATAGCTAAGGCGTGGATTTTTTAAAGGATATTTTTTCCAGGACCAACCGAGGCGTGGATTTTTTAAAGGATATTTTTTCAGGACATTTCAGCGCGTGGATTTTTTAAAGGATATTTTTTCAGGACCAAACAAGGCGTGGATTTTTTAAAGGATATTTTTTCAGGACATTTCAGGACGTGGATTTTTTAAAGGATATTTTTTCCAGGACCAACCGAGGCGTGGATTTTTTAAAGGATATTTTTTCAAGGACTAGCTAAGGCGTGGATTTTTTAAAGGATATTTTTCAAGGAATAGCTAAGGCGTGGATTTTTTAAAGGATATTTTTTCAAGGACTAGCTAAGGCGTGGATTTTTTAAAGGACATTTTTTCAAAGACTAGTTAAGGCGTGGATTTTTTAAAGGACATTTTTTCAAAGACTAGCTAAGGCGTGGATTTTTTAAAGGATATTTTTTCAAGGAATAGCTAAGGCGTGGATTTTTTAAAGGATATTTTTTCAAGGACTAGCTAAGGCGTGGATTTTTTAAAGGATATTTTTTCAAGGACTAGCTAAGGCGTGGATTTTTTAAAGGATATTTTTTCAAGGACTAGCTAAGGCGTGGATTTTTTAAAGGATATTTTTTCAAGGACTAGCTAAGGCGTGGATTTTTTAAAGGATATTTTTTCAAGGACTAGCTAAGGCGTGGATTTTTTAAAGGATATTTTTTCAAGGACTAGCTAAGGCGTGGATTTTTTAAAGGATATTTTTTCAAGGACTAGCTAAGGCGTGGATTTTTTAAAGGATATTTTTTCAAGGACTAGCTAAGGCGTGGATTTTTTAAAGGATATTTTTTCAAGGACTAGCTAAGGCGTGGATTTTTTAAAGGATATTTTTTCAAGGACTAGCTAAGGCGTGGATTTTTTAAAGGATATTTTTTCAAGGACTAGCTAAGGCGTGGATTTTTTAAAGGATATTTTTTCAAGGACTAGCTAAGGCGTGGATTTTTTAAAGGATATTTTTTCAAGGACTAGCTAAGGCGTGGATTTTTTAAAGGATATTTTTTCAAGGACTAGCTAAGGCGTGGATTTTTTAAAGGATATTTTTTCAAGGACTAGCTAAGGCGTGGATTTTTTAAAGGATATTTTTTCAAGGACTAGCTAAGGCGTGGATTTTTTAAAGGATATTTTTTCAAGGACTAGCTAAGGCGTGGATTTTTTAAAGGATATTTTTTCAAGGACTAGCTAAGGCGTGGATTTTTTAAAGGATATTTTTTCAAGGACTAGCTAAGGCGTGGATTTTTTAAAGGATATTTTTTCAAGGACTAGCTAAGGCGTGGATTTTTTAAAGGATATTTTTTCAAGGACTAGCTAAGGCGTGGATTTTTTAAAGGATATTTTTTCAAGGACTAGCTAAGGCGTGGATTTTTTAAAGGATATTTTTTCAAGGACTAGCTAAGGCGTGGATTTTTTAAAGGATATTTTTTCAAGGACTAGCTAAGGCGTGGATTTTTTAAAGAATATTTTTTCAAGGACAGCTAAGGCGTGGATTTTTTAAAGGATATTTTTTCAAGGACTAGCTAAGGCGTGGATTTTTTAAAGGATATTTTTTCAAGGACTAGCTAAGGCGTGGATTTTTTAAAGGATATTTTTTCAAGGACTAGCTAAGGCGTGGATTTTTTAAAGGATATTTTTTCAAGGACTAGCTAAGGCGTGGATTTTTTAAAGGATATTTTTTCAAGGACTAGCTAAGGCGTGGATTTTTTAAAGGATATTTTTTCAAGGACTAGCTAAGGCGTGGATTTTTTAAAGGATATTTTTTCAAGGACTAGCTAAGGCGTGGATTTTTTAAAGGATATTTTTTCAAGGACTAGCTAAGGCGTGGATTTTTTTTTAAAGGATATTTTTTCAATGTGTATTCAGAGCGTGGATTTTTTAAAGAATATTTTTCAAGGGTCAGCCAATACGTGGATTTTTTGAAGAATATTTTTTCAAGGGGTATTCAGAGCGTGGATTTTTTGAAGAATATTTTTTCAAGGTGTATTCAGAGCGTGGATTTTTTAAAGAATATTTTTTCAAAGGGGTATTCAGAGTGTGGATTTCTTAAAGAATATTTTTTCAAGGGTCAGCCAAGGCGTGGATTTTTTGAAGAATATTTTTTCGAGGGTCAGCCAAGGCGTGGATATTTAAAAGAATATTTTTTCAATGACTATCAAAGAAGTTTAACTTCAAATATCTCCTCACATCACTTATTGGCTTTTGCTTAAGATTTATGATAACAAATTTGAAAATATTGTTACATTTTAATTCTATAATTAAAAAATAGATAAAAAAGAATAACAATCCCTACTCATAGAGTGAAAATGCCGCAAGCCAAATATGAAAACAATTTCTCATCTCTCAACACGGCTATAAAATGCACGATTTAAATATTTTATTTGTTGGTTTTCACAAGGACGTAGATATTTAGGGTTTTTATAAAGATTTTGTTGTTGGTGTTGAATATAACACCGCACACAAAAAAGGAAAATCTTTGTTGTTTTTCTTTTTCAAGAATATGTTTTTTGGGTTGTTTAACCTTGAAGCGCTTGAACAACAGGATAACAAGATAAAATTAAAGAAAAAGATTAAAATTTTGTTGATGAAACCATAGAACAAAAAATAAAAGAAAAAAATCATTTTAGAACAACGTAAAAGAAACATCGTATCCATGTAGACAGAAGGCCTCCTTGAGAATTAGTTTAGAGCTGTTATTGCCTATTTGCAAGTTGTTTTCGTTGTTGTTGTCTGCGAATAAGAATATAATTTTTATTACAAAATGAATTTTTATCCTGCCGCATGAGCAAAGGATGCTTCTTTTGTTGGTGTTTTTTGCTAGGATTTTAAAAAAGGTTTTATAACCGGTTACTCTGTTTTATGAGTTGTATAATCTTCCCAACCACTACGAAATATTAGTAGGATACACCATAAAGTATTTTTTGAATCAGTTATTTTTTTAAATCAGGATATAGATCCAAAAATTAAAGCTTGGAAAACGATATTTGGTATTGAAAATGGGTTATAGTCCATGGTGTAATTTAGTTCTCATATAACGACACCTCTCCATTGTGTGTATTTCGAAGATTGTAACCGCTGCAAAAAATATCTACATAGATCCTTGTTTTGACATAGCTCCAATGTAAAGGTCCCTACCCCATTTGATGTATTTTGAATGATTTAGTACTACTGTAGTGATAGTAATTTGACTTACGGGTTCTTAGTGGGGGAAAACGGTTTCTTAGAAAAAAATTGCAGTATAGGTCAACATTTTGTTATAAGACCCCATACATAGGTCTTGCACATTTAAAGTATTGTGAAGGTCCAAGGCATATTTTTTACAATCGGAGCGGTTTTAATTTTGTGTCCTTGCATAATTTTTCTGTTTCCATGCCTATGGCTTTGTTCATGTGTATTAAACATACAAGTTGGAAACAAGATTGAATTTGGCACGGCTGATCTAAGAGAATTGGTTGACATTTCGAGTTACCATAAAAATTTTGCAGCGATTTTATGTTAATTGCACCCGAAAACACATAAGTCTGACCAATTGACACGAAAATTAGCTTAGCTTGCTGGATAGAGTTATAAGTTTGCTCTAATTCGGTTAAGATTTAGATTTTACCCCATGTATAATTTCGTTCGATTTCATGTAAATAGTGTACGATTCTTCTGTACACTATTTACATGAAATCGAACGAAATTGCCTGACAAATTGACACAAAAGGTGCATAAATTATTGAATTGACTCTCAACTGTAACAAGTTTATATTGCTCCAAGAACATGATCCATCATTCGGTTTATGTTATATATATGTTTTTACCAAATCCCATTTGCTTCTTGTCTTGACCTTGGTTCGTAAAAATATTGCGATTTTTTTTTTGAAGGATCAAACCTGCTACTTCATAAGATTCACATACTATTTCCAAATTTTCAGAATGTTTACATTTGCAGGTGTTAATAGAAATAGACCGATAAATTCAGTAATCAGACTTAATCTAGGTTTTGTAAAAATATTACGATATGCACCAATAAATCTGTACCATGAATAATAATAAGTTATTGAGACTATTGAGACTCCAAAACATGGTTTTTGAATCATGAAAATCGTTGTATTTTTGTTTAGCAGGAATAAACAGCATGGTCATGCCGGTCAACTTCGATCATTCCTCCGATTTTATCGAAATTTTCGGCGACCGGCCTACCTGTGCGAGGTGCATCTTTAACATCAAAAATTCCTGAACGGAATATACGAAACCAAAATTGCACATAATTGGCTGTTACAGTATCGGACCCATAAACACCATTCATAATTTTAGCCGCTTGCCTTGCATTTTCGCCTTTGTCAAAGAAAAACTGTAAAATGTACCCGAATTTTCTCTTTGTTCACTTCTATTTTTAACACCCTGTAACTCAAAACTGAATGCACCAAACAAAAAACAGCAAACAATTTGTTTTACTGCGAAATTTCACCCTTTTCAACCTCAATTTATTTGCATAATTTTTACCATTTTTTGGTGCGGTGCGCAAAGTTTGGTTGAAATCGGTTACTCTTTTCGGGATTTATAGAGAGCAACAGCCGGCCAGAAGGAAAGACATACGTAATTCGACATCAAATTTTCTGAAACGGATTTGGTCCAAAGAAACATGGGGTCTAAAGCCCATAGTGTGATGAGGTACATAGGGAAGTGTATATACCCTCATTAGCCATAAGGCGGAGGGTATAAAAACTACATGTTTTGATATCTATATCGCAATGCTTCCAGCTGGCACTCTGCATCTGCCTACGTAGCACAATGTCGCAGGTTCATATTAACAGCGGCCAAAAATAGAAGGGGATATCGTAGATTAAATTTGGTACAAGTGCTTATTATTAGCCTAAAGAGCAAGCGACAAAAAATTGGATCGGACCAAGATTTGGTGATATGTAGCATCTTATGAATGTCACTCCAAAGGTACTATACATCTCCAATGCCACGAACGAAAACTTTTCTGTAGTGTGGATAGCTGTAAACACCGTGTCGTCTCTATTTACATAAAAACAACAGTGAATCCTATTTTTTAACAACCCATGCAACCACAATAAACAATTTTATAGTAACCATTAATTTAAATATCCAAAGATTTTAACATGAGAAAAATGTACCCATTTTTCGAAAAGAAAATGTGAAAAAGCAGTTTGTCAACAATTATCAGATTTGAACCCTTGTATAGACAAATCTACTTGACGTATCAATACCGAATTTCATATTTATTCTAATTGGAGTATTTTCTGTCAATTTTCATCAATAAATTTGTCCTCTGAGGAAGTTGGTTTTGACAATTTTTGGCCGCGGTCGTGTCACTGTGCGTAGTTTGGCCCGATCAAACTTATTGACGTTTTTATCTGAATAAAATAAAAGAATAAAAGTAATGAAAACAAATGTATTCCTCCCAAGAAAAAAACACCACCGTCCCTCATTGTTCGGTAGTGTTATGTTTTGGTATACTCCGTTTCTTCCTCACTTAGTGGTTGTTAGTTTTGTAACTGTTCCGTTTATAGTTCCTTTGCTCCATATGTAGGAACTGTATGGAGTTCATTCGCTCTTTATAGTTCCTTTGTTCTGAGATCAGAAAAAAGAACGATATCAAAAAAGGAACGAGATCAGAAAAGGAACTATATTAATTAAAGAGTTGGAACTAGTTCCGATCGTTCCTTTCTCGGAATAGTTCCAATGAACTAGTTCGTTCCGGAACTACCCAACTCTACCGTTGCACTATAAGTCAAATGACCACATTTTCTGTGCAAAATTAATAGCGACAACAAAATAATAGTATTCGTTATGAAATTTGGCCCAACTTATTTTTTTTTGTGTTACTTGAATCGTTTTTGTTGAATTTGGAAGAAATCTCTTCAGATTTGGATATAGCTCCCATATATATTTTCGTCCGATTTTATGTAAATGGTGCACCATAATGCCAATATTAGTCGGATTTAGACAAAATTTTGCACAGAGTATTGAATTAGGTGCAGATTGATTTGTGTCAAGTTTTGTTGAAATCGGTTCAGTTTTAGATAGAGCTCCCATATATAGTTTCGTCCGATTTTATGTAAATAGAGCACCATACTGCCAATATTGGTCCGATTGAGACAAAATTTTACACAGAGTATTGAATTATGTCCAGATTGATGTATGCGAAGTTTTGTTGGAATCGTTTTGATTTAGATATAGCTCACATATATAGTTTCGTCCGATTTTAGGTAAATGGTGCACCAAACTGAAAATGTCTGCCCGATTGGGACAAAATTTTTCACAGTGTACGGAATTTAGCCGAGTTTTACATCTGTGAAGTTTTGTTGAAATCGGTCCAGATTTATATACAGCTCACATACATATAGTTTCGTCCGATTTTATGTAAATGGTGCACCAAACTCCCAATAATGGTCCGATTTAAACGAAATTTTGCACAGCGTATTGAATTCCGTCCAGTTTGACATTTATGAAGTTTTCCTTGAAACCGGTCCATATTGAGATTTTAGGTAAATGGTGCATCAAACTTTCAATATTTATGCGATTGGCATGCAATTTTCTTATAGACTTCAGAATGTCATGTGTATGGTTTTTATTGGCTCAAATATCTGTGTAGATCACATTTGTTTTTTACCCGATTCCATGTTAATGATCATCCAAAGATGGTATGTCTCTTCTATCAACAGGATATTGTTCACATTATAATTTTTTGTTTGTACACAAAGTGGTAAAGGGTATCATATAGTCGGCCCAGTCTGACTTTTGATCTTTCCTTACTGGTTGTCTATATATACGGAGGTTGCCTAGATAAAAGGGGCATTACTCGCAAAACGCAAAAATTCGCAACTTGAAATAAATTTAAATTGACTCATTACTTATCACTTAATTTATGTGCAAAATTTCAAAGAGGTCATATTTGGTCATTTTTTAATAGCTTACTGAAAGTCAATCTATCAAATTACTTTAACTTTTTAAAGTCTTCTTAGACTAAAGGGTTATTTTCAAGTATAGTGTCGCAAACATAAAAATGTTTCGATTTAATATAAATATGCTCACTTGTATCTATATTTTCCATTTTACACTAATTAATTATTGTAAACACAATCGAAATAATACGCACTCAAAGTTGACTAAGCCCCACAGAAATATAAGCATATTTATAGAATAAATTGTATTGAGCGACTTGCACGGCCAGCTATGTAACGATACTTTATATTTAGCATTAATAAATATCACGTGTCTCTATTTTAGAGTGTTCTAAATACAAAAACAACAACAACTCGTGAAGAACAACACTTTGATTTTTTTCAATTTTGCACAGAAAAATCGGTCATTTGACCTACAGTGCGTTGGCTAAAATCGCTGTCTTGGCTTTAATTTTGCTTTCCATTATTTCTTTATTTTAGACACTGTTACTGCATTGTGTTACAAAATTCGCATATGTATTTTCCAAATTATTTCGATAAAAATATCAAATACAATGTAACAAACAAGTGTTGATACGACCACCAATCCTAACCGAATTGTTAACGAAGTAAGAAAACATAAAACCATAAAAAAATTATAACGACAAAGAGTTTCCATAGACTAATTTCTCTCTCTTACAAGAAAGCAGTATTTTGAGTTTTATGAATTGCATTCTTAAAATTTAGAAATCCGGACATATTTCATATAATGTACGAATTATATTTTGCTGTTTAGAAGAAGTTTATAAAAAATCAGCTACTTCCTTTGACAGACAGACGGAAATTGCTACATAAATTCAAAGTGTCTGAAACGCATTTCGGTCAACTGATATTTTAGTGAGACATATTATTGATTCCTGGGGAACATAGGTTATAAATATTTACAAAATTACTAGTTTTAATTATAGTAGAGGTTCATGGTTCGCCATTCCTTACAAAAAGGTACAAAATTCAAAAAGTTTTAAATATTAATTTTTTATTACAAATAATAAAATACATAACATTAAAAACACATTCCTACAAAATAGTGATGGGTTAAATTAATTATGAATCTTCGCTAAAATAATATACCTTAATATATAATACACTTATCATATGGATTCATGGGACTCGCTAAATTACATGAAAATTCTTTAGAAAATTCAACGAAATTCGAAAGGGGACCAATAACACGAAATCTGTCGGGAACATGTTCATCAATTGTTGTTACATAATTACTTAACATCGGATGCGTTGAACTACACCATAGCTGGGCATATGAAATGAAAAATAGCTGCTTTCCAGTGAAATTAAAACGTGGTAACATTTCCATTTCAATATTTAACCGAGAACGATGATACCAATCGGTGTAGGCTTCAAAGGCCAAACGGATGCCACCATTATCGGCAATATTTTCCGACTGCGAAACAATTTCGGATAAATGTCGTCCATTGTGGATGTATGAATGATATTGTTTGCGAAAACATTGGGTACCGCGGATAAAATGCTCCTGAGTATAGAAATCCCACCATTGACGATTATTGCCATTGGCATCGAACATCCGACCCTCCTCATCAAAGGCATGTATGACTTCGTGGGAGATAAAAAACCCCAAGGTGGCAAATTTCAAAGCATTTGGATATGAATCGGACCAAAGGTAATAGGGTTGCAGCATGGCCACGGGTACTTTGATGAGATTTTCGGTTAAAATATAGGCAGGGGAAAATGACATTACCGCTTCATAGTGGGGTCGTGGCTCTTCCCTTAATCTCAGTCTTGTCTGATTGGCTTTCCAAATGAAAATCTCTCTTAGATTTCTCACCAAATCATGTTTATTAATGGTGAGATTTTGAAATTCCAAATCAAAATCGATATCTTTGTGAGAGTTGATTTCCAATTTCATGGAGTCCAATTTCAACTTGGCCATATACCTTGTTAGCGGCCGCATCCAGCTTAACCTCACCGAATCCAAGGCACGTTGAAAGCTGGCCTTAATAGTGTGCCACATTTGTTGAACATCTTCTTCCATGCGGGGGGTTATATATTTCCGATAGACCATATCATCCATAAGACTGCTGAAATACCTTTTCGTTTTCATGAGGCACAAATGATCCAGTTCATCCGTCACTTTGGGTTTGATCAGCATAAAATGTTCCAATAGATTGAAAAATATATAATTTGCCACAATGCGTTTTGGTGTGCTGCGTACGGCGTCTATAATATTCTCGGCATCGAAAGAATTGAGGTCATAGATTTTCGCTGTGGGTATGTATCCCAATAAAATGTTCAACATTTTCTTTACATCGAAGTAAGGAAAATATTTATGTTGCATATCATCCGCTGTGCGGAGGGTTTGTGTAAACAATGTTCGATTTGTACTGGTTCGCCCCACAGCCAAGAGAACTTCAAATTCGAAGATTTCAAGGGCAATTTGTTTGGCAAGATTTTCTTCCACCCCCAGCAAGGTCTTTAGTAATTCGGCAATATTCAGCTTACGCATTCTCCTATAGACTTCATGTTCCGGCCGAGTGTATATCAGCTTCGAACCCAATGGCAATTCTTGCATTGTCAAATGCAAACGATGTATCCGACTATTGGCACTATCTACCTTCACCTCAAAACCCAATATAATGCGTATATCATATTTATGGGCAATTTCCGCAATTGTCTCCAACCAATCGAATTCGTATTCCAGCCACATTTCTTCGCCGCCCAATGCTGGCATTCTACCAAATTCTTGAATAATGTCAATCAACTTGTCGCGATAGGTATAGCGCAGTATGGCCACATTCATACACGATTCATAGAAGTTTTTAACTTTCATTTCAGCCAAGGTGTCCGCATCGGAATCATCTTTCAGCACTGCAGATATTTTACGACTCAAGGCATTTGAAATACTCTCGAAGGGATTATTTACATAGGGATAGTAATTCGGTGGATTCAAACGCTGATAATTGCCACAGGCAAATTTATGAAAATCATCACAGGGATCCACCGATTCATCCATATAATTACGCATTTCAGCCGATTTTGCATAGCGTAGCAATTGTTGTTTATATTGCGGATTTATTTCTTCAAAATAATCGAATTTTGTGGCACGAACTAGAATACAATTTGCCAGCACCAGTATTACAAATATACATTTTTGTAACATTATTTTGCGTTTTTTGTCTAAACCGTTTTCATTCACCGTAATTTCAATACTAAATTCGGCAAGAGTTTAATTCTCAAATTATCTTCACACATGTTCGGACAGACAGACATTCCATTCCGCAAGAAAGGTTATCAATTGGAATTTGTTTGGGGGAGCTGTACTCATTTCTTTTCTTTTTTCTGGGCAGATTTCTGCTCCGAAGAGAAGAGCAATAGAAGATCTCTTAATTATTGAGAAGTTTTGTTTTTGTTTTGTATAAATTATGCCAAGGTTATGCGTAAACTGAAGCAATGTCAAATACCAGGCATACGCTCATGTGTTTAATATTTATTTTGCGTATTAACCCATTAATGACTCTGGCTATTGCGTTGAAATAATAGAAAGTATACAGTGTCGGAAAGAAGCGGATCATATCGGATGCTCCATTAGATTCAAATGTATTTTTTCAAATGTTAAAAATGTTCAGACTTGATCTAGTTCTGGTGAAAATATTGCGATGTGTCAAATATGGATTAAATTGGATATTCCGTTCGCTTCATATGATATTTAAAGTTTTCTAAATACAGAACATTTGTAGTGGAGGTAATGGACAGACAGGTGCACATTGACTCCAAATTGTCTGAAACGAAGTAGACCCAAATAAACGATATTTCGATGAGGCAAATTTTTATCGGAGCAATGTGTACATTCCTTCATTAGTCACAAGGCTAAGGGTATAACAAATTTAAACCATTTTTAACAATAACGTCCTCAGTAGCATTCGACGTACGATCATTTGTTGTGTTGCTTACATTATCTTGAAACCTCTATTGGTAAAAAAAATTGAAATTATCACGACAAGTGTGCATCGATTAAGTTAAACCTTTCTATAGCTATTAAGCACCATCCTTTAGAACGGGTTAATGCTGGTTCAATGAATTCAATCGCTCATACACAACGCTCGTGTGAATATCGTTCAAAAACTCCAGAACATTGATGCCATTAATGAATTTATAAAATTCCTTGCACATTTCTTCCATCTGCATTCATTGCATGAACATCTGGCCGGAAAGGAGCACCTCGAAGCTAATGGTCGCCTTGTTTCTTCGGCAAAACTTGCCGACTACTTCATATGAAAAATGCAGGAGGCCTAGTCTAAGTCACCACAATTTCTTTGCGAGAAATTCGAAAAACGAAATTTATATTAAATTCATTGCGAAATTACATCTGCGAAGTAATTTGAAACGTGTCAAGGTTTTCGACATTTGTCATCTCACCAGAATGTCCTTCTTCAGAACAGATTTTTCAAATAGTGAGGTACTTTTCTTCCATACAACCTAGATTAGTCTCTTTCCAACCATAAATCTCTTTTTGTGCAAGATGTTGAGGCGATTTTGAACATTTGTGATGTCATAGGAACCAGTGTTCAAATCCCAGCCCGAGCTCAATCTGAATTATTTGTAGTTTATTCATCGTTAGGCCGAAAGTTCATTCATGTAATGTTTTTAGTTAGTTCTCTTCCGAGATGAGCTATACGATCGTCGATTTTCGTAACCAAAAGATGCTGTTTGAGCGATCTGAAGCTCCTTTGACCAGAAATATATGTAGTAGAACCAGAAATATATGTAGTAGACATTCATTGAAACCCAAAACTGATTTTAGTATATGATCTGAGAACTGAATAAACAACCGTGCCAGATATCGTTCCGATCGTCCCTTTTCTTTTTTTTGATATATGTAGTAGAACTCTTGCTGAAGAGTTTCTTCGAACTTGTCTGAGTCTGAATGACACAAAATATGAAAGTTAAGACATTGTCGAATTGTTGTTGTTTACTAAAAATATATGAAAAACGTGTTTGATTATAAATATTCCATTGCTTGGCGAGAAATATATTGTAGACCTCGTTAATAAAGAAAGAAAATCATGTTTACAGAACTGACAAAAAGAGGCAGAAAATCGAAAGAGCAAGATGAAGTTCCGATCGTTCCTTTTGCTGAATAGTTGCATTGAAATAGTTCGTTTCGGAAAGTCAAAACCTACAAAAGTCAAGACGAAATTGTCGAATTGTTATATGTTACTATGTTCGGATTTAAATTACTCAAGTGCAATTGCCTCACTTTTGTATTTTGTAGGTGCGAGAGTTGAGCGGAATGGCAATCCCTTATCACTCTCGCTCATAAACTTAGAATTGCGGCAAGTAAATTTGCTTAATGTAATTTTGGTATATGTTTAAAATACAACGATAAGTATGATTTGGAAATCAACGATGGGAGCAAAAGGAACTAGATAAAGTTTCGATCGTTCCTTTTGCTGAATAGTTCATATGAACTAGTTCGTTTCGGAATGTCAAAACATACGAAAGTGTAGACAAAAGTGTGAATCGTTGAACTGAAAATGAACGATTGGAGCAAAAGAAACTGTACAGACGAAAGAGCCAGACATAGTTGCGATCGTTCCTTTTGCTGAATAGTTTCATTGAACTAGTTCGTTTTGGAACGTCACATCATACGAAAATTAACACAAAATTGTGGATACCCACATAAATTTCATCTACTTACAGAACACGGCGTAAAGGAGAAATTGTTTGTTATAACTTCGAAAATTAACACAAAATTGTGGATACCCACATAAATTTCATCTACTTACAGAACACGGCGTAAAGGAGAAATTGTTTGTTATAAATTCGGAATTTCTTTATATAGTTCATAAATATTTATTACTTATAGAGTTGACCAAACTCGTTCCTGAAACGGTTCGATCTCTTTTAACTAGCTCCGTAAAATGAACTAGGCCACTCGTTTAGTTACCTAGTTCCTTTTAGTTTAATCGTTCATTTATATACCTCAGCTCATTGGGATGATCTAGATGAACGATTTAAAAACGGAATTAGGTGAACGAAAACGAGAAAAGGAAAGACTGCAGCAAAAGAAACTTGATGTGCATAATAGCCAGACATAGTGCCGATCGTTCCTGACTATCTTTGCGTAGAATATTTCTTTTAAACACGTTTGTTCCGGAACAACCCTAGAGTTCGGTAATATCGTTCCTGAGAGGGATTCACTCTTTTTTGTTCCGCTGCGCAAAAGGAACTAGTCCATTCAAATCATATCGTTCCTGAAGCGGTTTGAACTTTTCCGGTGCGGGGATTAGTGTTGAACTAGTTCGATTCTGAACAACCCAACTTGAGTTATCGTTATACCGCTCCCAACAAGAACTAGGTCATTCAAATGATTCTGAAGTTCTCTTTAGTCATATCATTGATTGGTATACTTCAGTTGATTCGGTCTAAGAGATATAAATGAACGATTGAACTAAAATAAGATAGTTCAGTGAGAATTAAATTTTTTTAGCATAATTGTAATCAAAACCTGTATTGGTTTTGACTCGTTGTGTGTGGAAAATGGGTACGACTAGTGCAAATGGAACTAGATGAACGATAGAGTCGGACTTAGTACCTATCGTTCCTTTTGCGGAATAGTTCTTTTGAACTAGTTCGTTCTGCAACGACCCAACTCAAATGTTTTCTGATATCGTACTACATATTCCAATTAGAAGGATTGAATTTCATAAATATAAATATTCCGGGTTAGATTTTCTCTCCACTGTTTCCATGTCATTTTTTTCCATTTTTTCCACAAAATTCGATTTAGATTTAAATTTATATTTGTTTCTTTTAAGTGTCATATATAATAAAAATGTATATTTAGGGATTATAATTAATAATTATCTCCTGCCTTTTTAATAACAATTTCCAATGAAAAACAAAAAATTCCACATAATTCGAATATTTTTATTTAAAACCTAAAAAGCCGGTCAACGAACGTTGAAGGGGAACAATTCATGTAAAAGTCATTTGCAACATTCTTTTGTGGTTTTTATTTTTTTGAGAACATGGAACTAGGTTTTGAAGTTGAACAGCACAGCAGCAACAACATGTAAGATAATAACCTAAGGGCAACATTATGCAAACAAACGCGTTCGAACACACACGGATACTTATTATAAATATTTGCTGCAACGACGACGAGTAAGCAGCTAAAGGGACAGACACAGCAACTGCAACAAACATCGAAGCGAATAAACCATATTAACAGCAACAACATATGAATGCATCCCATTCAGTTAAAACAGAACTGACAGACATCTGTCAACTGGGCACGACATAAATGCAAATATTTGTTCATGTCTTTTGATAACCACTAAAGATATGTAGAACGATGAGGGAGGAGGAACATACCGTGTTTATGTCCACATGTAACATTTGGCATAGACTAGAGGGGCGACATGAATTCTGTGCATTGAATTTCTGTGAATTGTTGTACACTGAAATTAAAATTATTTGGAAATTTATAACCCACATCAGCGGTGGTGTTAACCTGAAATTTCTATGATAGAATGTATTTAGAAATTATTTTATGTATGGAGAAGAGTACAAAAATTATAAAATCGTTTTTGCATATTGTTACTTGTTACTTAAAATTCTGTAATTAATTGGTTGGATGATGTGATGTAACCTGACAATTCGATAAAAAAGGAAATAGTTCAGGGAAACTATTTCGCAAAGGGAACGATCGGTACTAGTTCCGTTTCCTCCGTACAACTAGTTCAATTCGCTGCAATAGCCACAACCACCACCAAAGTTAAATGAATTATTAAAATTAGTTGTAAAGCACATAGTCCAGTATGCCTGATGATCCTATTGGGTTCTGTTATGATAGCTACCCCTTTCCAATCAAATTTAAATTGTTACTGGTTTTTGTTTTTCCGTTAGCTATGATTTTTACAGAAGCCTCATTTATGACCTTTGTTTTAAATTTATAATAGCAACCATAAATAAGTGGAATCATAAATATCGTACATGTGTACGGTATATAGCCCGTTCATATGTACCTAATAGTAAAATACGTGGCATAAATGGGCGTTATTAATCGATTTGTGCCACTCAAAAGTGAATTGAGTTAATTAGAACAGGTCATTCAAAAAGATCATTTCCAACCTGGAAAAAAATAAGAAGAGGCAA